AAAAACATGAAGAAAATAGATATGTCATCAAATAAAAAAATGCACAGTATTGTGAAAGTTTATGGTTATAAGCACTGAAAATGTGCAAAGACTGTAATAGACGCATTAGTCTTTTTTAGACTGAAAGAGGCTGATTCATACCACGAAGATATTTATTTTCTGAACATTTTGTGGCAGGTAATAATATATCACAGTAAGCACAAAATTAAAAAATAACCCCTCCACTCCTTGAGAAATAAAAGGGTCATTCGGTCATTTTTTTTAGAAATGAAATAGTCAGTTTCTGAAGAAATGAATGGGAAGTTTTCTTATTCAAACTGAATGCTAACACACTGTTTCATAAACATTACGCAGATGGTCATTAAAAGAGTATAAAAAACACTCTGAAATTTCATACAATTTCATGACATCGTTTCGAAACAAAATGAATATCAGTGATCAGAATCACAATCAAAAAAATAAATGCAAAAAATTCTAGTGAGTTTAGATGCATAGTTTTTCAAGTGAAATTACTTGTTAGGATGTGTTTTGTGAACATTTATTTTACTATAAAGGGCATGTATATAGCACACCAGCAAGCTAATAAATAAATGCTGAATAATTTTAGGATGTCCCTAATTTTCTGACAATATCTTTTAGTTCAGAATTTGCTTTAGACCAGCTGCTATCAGTCAACATGACTGACCAACCAAAAGATAATTTGATTACGTATGAGTTTGGTAGCAACTACCACTGCCTGGTGGATCTTTGATATTTACCAAAATGGTACTATTTTGGTGTAATAATGATGCTAAAAGCTAATATATATTATAGTAGCACAACACAGTTTAATGCAATAAATAATAATTACAATAACTTACGGTCAACAGATGTGGGTATCTTTGCAGCTAAATCAGCCATGTTTGCCTGAAAAAAAGATCAACATACAAAAATATTCAATAATGAACACGAAATAGCGCATGATAAAATAAAAAAAGTATACGACAAACTCTGCCTCCTGTGAGGATTGAACTCACGACCCCTGGTTTACAAGACCAGTGCTCTGCCACTGAGCTAAAGAGGCTTGCAGTTCCAATATTCGTAAAGCTACATTTGAAATAGGTGGATTTTTAACATCTGCTTTTTACAAAATTTTAAGTATCTACTTATGAATAAAATAAGTAATTTGATTGACTGAAATCGACTAATGATTGAACATTGAACGCAACAGCATTTTATTAATAACAAATAGGAAGGTAGGTAGGTGTATGTATGTACAATTTTTTTTTTTTGGATTCCACAATTACTAATAATGAATTACATGTTTAATACAAGTTAGACAAAAGAGGCAGGTTAAGTATAATAGTGGAAATATGAAGTTTTGTCCCAATTAGGAAAGATTTTATTCGATTGGCAATGAATAAAATGGACACATGGACCTAACATGGCGACCCTTTTCCTAACCTAGGATAATCAGATTCAACAGGTAATTCTCTAGGCGAGAAATGGTAAAAATACACAATAGAGTCAATATTTTAGCGTAAGTAATAAGAACTGTTCTGATAAATGATTCACTTATTATACTATCAAATAGAAAAGCTATCCCAGTTTTTGTCAATGCCCTTTGTGAGAGTATCGTCAAACTGTCAACAGAAGTACTGCCAAAAGAAGTTACTCACCGATTTATTCTTAATGAAACTAATAAAATCACTAAAACACACAAGAAACGGAACTCTAGAAATATCGCACGTAAAGTTCTTTGCTTTGTTTCCGTTGAAAATATCACGAAATGCTCTTCTCCAGACTCTCTACTCGGTTTTTATAAACAACGGACGCTATTTCTGTCACGTGGGGTGTGCAGCTATTTGATTGGCTGCCGCATTCAAACTCTTGTCAAGCTATTGGTGGAAACAACAAAGAGTAGTTCCAAATTTAAATTTTCGAATTCATCTGTGTATGGACAAAGAATTTTATTTTTGGGCTTGTCTGCAGCAACTATTTCGGGAAATACGGTTGAATCATTCCTGGCAACTATTCAGTATTTATAGATTATGGATGTGAAGTATCAGTGAGTATTATGTACCAAAGGACGTTAACTTTACACTTAAAATAAGTTATACAAGGTGAATTTAAGAAAATACAAAATTGCATCTTTTTGGAAATATCTCTCAGTAAGAAAAGTTATTCTGTTATATAGACGATCAGCATTATTTATATTAATAAAGAGATAATTACCTACTTAGTCTGGGAAGACTAGTTTATCGTTTTTGATTTATTGAAATAGTAAGAATTTTTATTTATAAACGTTGTAGGCGCTAAACGGAACAGCAAACTATAATTAATCAGGGTCCAATAATTATGAATAATGTCACTGGTTGTGGACGTTACCGTCTCTTATCAATCAAGAGGTGCCGCGCAAAACGCGAAGATTATCGCAAACCGTCATAAAAGATGCTAAGGTTCGTGTTGCTCTGCAACGTCATGTGATTTTCGACCTTACGTTCCAAACCACGACTTACCAGACTATGGCGTTTTTTGGAATTGCAAGCAAGCAGCATTTTCATAGACTTTACGCAAATACCCAGTGTCTATATCTTTATAAAACGAAATCATCCTAGATAAAGAAAATGTTATACATGTAGGTATATTCTAGATATTATATTACATTATTGACTGTTTTTGTAGGACAAAATCCAGCCGCTTATAAAAAGCCGTTACTCGATGAATCACACACCGACGTCGTGGAAGGTCGAAGAAATTTTCAACGAATCCGTCTTTCGTTGTGTTGTGTCGTATAAGGCAAGACCGCTTTCTGATGAGATCCTACGCAAAAACGGTTGGATTGCCAGTTCGTTTCGTTCAATTCAGTAAAGGTCGTTGTTACTTATTCGTACTGTATTAATTTTCCGCTTCTGCACCATATATACAGTTTGTTGAACTGTACTGAAAATATGACGGATTAAATATGAAAACAAAGTGTACCTATGTATACTTATGCAGTTGTTTGATTTGAGGATAACTGATATTCGGTTAGAAATCTGGCAGAACATGTTGAGCATATCATATATGACGAATTTTTGCTATACCACAAATCTTATATACCTACCTAGATCTAAAATTCATAATTTTTAAGTTATACGCTTTTTAAAATTCTTGGCCGTACATCTCTTTCAAAATTCATATAAGGTCATCATTTTTTCAGTCAAGCGAATAGGGCAGAGAAGTAGTGTAATCGTGAAAAACCTTCAAATGAAAGAACGGTTTTCATATATAACAGTAGGTAGATCTTTTGTTGTGACTGCGAGGAACTCCTTGCCCTCTATTAAACAAAAAAATATTTACAGTTTTTGCTAATAGGTCTGATTGCCATAGAGTAACGGTAACTAGATATTGAAGAAATTTTGAAAGGTGTCTGTCTAATTGTACCAGTATTATGACTGAAAAATCTCCAAAATTCCCCTATTACATAGGGTGGCGCATCGAAAACGGAACAGACGCATTCACTGGCAGCTCAGTTTTATTTTGGAAAAACGCTCAGACCCGTCGATTTTATTTTCGAGGGGGACACAAGTTTGGCAAAAAATCACGTTAGCACGTGCAGCCCCCTAAGCGGGGGTGACACCACACCCAAAATCTTAAATGGAACGGGGGGTCGAGTGATATTTTAAAGGTCTTTCAATTCAAAATATTATGATACAAGTATAAAATTAATGTACTTCAGTTCAGTAGTTTTGAAGATTTATTGTTTTAAAGCTTAAATAAAGCTAATACATCATCATTAGTGGACATCAATACATTTGGCAGCAAAGTAGTTTAAAAATGAAGAATGAACTGACCCGTTAGGCAAGTAAATGTTGAAAATGGCCACCATGACTCTCCATGCAATAATAAAGATTTTGCTCAAAACGTTGCCGCACATTTTGCAATATTTCAGGAGTAATTTGAAGGTACTCATTCACAATTCTTTGACGCAGGTCTTCTAATGATGTTGGCTGAGTAGCATAGATTTTGCTTTTTAAATGACCCCACATAAGGAAATCCAAAGGCGATAAATCTGGCGATCTTGGGGGCCATTCAATGGCACCTCTTCTACCAATCCATCGATCTGGACACGTCTGATCTAAATATTGTCGAACGCGTAATGCGTAATGTGGTGGGGCACCATCCTGTTGGAACATCAACCTATTCGCAATGTACCGCCGATCATTCTGATTTTCAATTATGGCTGTTAATGCAAGATCTATAGCGTCTTCCAGTAATTCCAAATACATTTCAGCGTTCAAATTTCCAGGTAAGAAAAAAGGACCAACTAAATGATTGCCAAAAATACCAGCCCAAACATTTAATTTTTGTGGCTGCTGTGTATGAACCTTATGATAAATAAATTCTGGGATTAGAATCGGACCAATATCGGCAGTTATGACGATTTATTACGCCATTTAAGAAAAAGGAACATTCGTCGGAAAAGCTAACAGTCCCATTTGCAGATTCACCCCCAAGCGAAATCTGGAAGTCATAACGCAAAGACGCAGCAAGTCATACGCGGAAGCAGCCGTCTCAACATCTTCGGCTGCCCCCTCTGTTCAACCCACTTTGAACACGCAGAATGTGGACCTAGCAACTGCGCTTAGGTCCCTTCAACAAATAATAAGTCCCCTGATTAGCGCCACTCAGGCATTGCAGGCGATCTTTCCGCAGCCATTTAATGGCTAAGTAAAATAGGCAAAGTGCATTTATCATCTGTCAGGTATCTTGGAGTCATCATTGACAAGGGGTTGACCTGGCAGAAACATACTGATATTTTGAAAACAAAATTCCAAATTACCTTTCGGCAGCTTTATCCTCTGTTGTGCAGAAATTCAAAATTAAGTTTTATCAACAAGATTCGGTTGTATAAAATGGTCAAAGACCCGTAATCACCTGCGCATGCGCGGCTTGGTGTTCCCCCCCCCCCCCCCTCCCCCCCCCCCCCCCGGACTGGGTACGTCCACGCAGAAGGGTAAAGAACGATAAACAATCTATATTCTGATAAATAATTTATTTTATAACATAGAAAACAGTTTCTTACATCTACAACAAACTTATACATTCTTTACATTTTTACATTTCATTTATAAATTAAAGACTAGAATTAAGTAAAAAAAGCACATAAATCATTTTCGTTACGGCGGACAATTCCCGATGTGGGTTACAATGGAAACACCATCGGTAGAATTTTTGTTATGCTGTACTGATATCATTGTTCATCTTTTTCCTACTCTACATCAATGTTTGCGAATGAACCGACCTTTTCACATTGAATTCTTGATTATTTCTGTGTTCGCGTGTCATTCAACGGCACTTTTATCATATTTTTTATCACCACCCTAAAATGCTGTTCCAGTTATCGTAACGTAATCAGCCTTCACCTGTGTCGTGTGCCACTCTTTTATGTTTCGAAAAATCTGCCATTTTCGAAACCTGCAATTAAAGTTTATGTTATTGGTGCTTCGTTTGCTATTCTAATGATTAATTCATAAAATTCGATACGTGGTAGATGGATACGTTATTATTGTCTCTTATTTCATAAACTTTCAAACCTCAGGACGTGTTTCTTTGGATAATTTTAACATGAAAAGTTTATAAAAACATGAGCCCAGAAATACTTCACTTTCAAGATACATCAGTGTCAAACTTTTTTTAAAATATCGGTTTTTCAAAAATATCTCGATAAACTTTGAGTCGGTGTTGTTTAAATTTAGCAGTGGTATTAAGGGCAGTAAAGGGCTAACTTAGCTCCAATCCAAGTAGGAAGGATGATTTTGAAAAGCTCTATACAGGGTGTTTCCTAACTGATTGTCAATATATGAGTGGGCGATTTTTCGATCCATTTTAAAATGAAAAGTTCACATGTCCCAAAACATCTAGCTTCGGTGGTAAAGTTTCAAAAATAAATCGCACCACCACTAGATAAATTTCCACCAGTCGCGTTCATACGTAATTTCACCTGCTTATTCTGGTAGAGCAGCACATATTTCGCTTAAAATAAAAATAATTGTTGAATCCTCAATCGTTTCTAAGCAAATCAGATGGCACGATTTTTTCTTAAATAAATAAAAATGCCCCTGTCCTATTGAGTTTTCCGATTTCTAGAGCAGCCGGACCGATCCTTGCATGAGCATGGAAGTCCACTGTCCTTGAAACCGACCTCGTAAGGATCATGGTCACGATCAACATGATGCCTCCTAACACCGTCCTACAAGGTGTTTTAGCTGAATACTTCTTTTAGTATGCTGATTCTCCGAGTTTTTGGTCTCGGAACTATAAAATCGACACATTCCCGTTTTCGCAAATCAGGCAAACTTTATCCGCCTATTTCTCAGAAACTGATCATAGGATTGTTCTGGTCCCAGTGGAATCTTTTGTTCGGGAAGGCAAGAAATATACCGAATCTTTAGACAAATCCTTTAGAATTGACGACCTTTAAAGATCAAAATAATTCTTCAGAATGCTTCCTTTTAGGCGAAAAACGCGTGAAGATCTGAAAAAAAACTCCAAGTGGAAGCGTCAAACGATTTATTGAATGTTTTGAAAGTATATGTGAAAAACATTATTACAGGAATTGCACAAATGTAGGAGACTTCAATATATACTAAGTGACATATAAATCCGAACACCCAGTTTAAATGGTTTTATTTTAATAAAATTTTGTATAAGTACTTAATGAAACATAATAAGTAAATGATAAAAATTTCAAAATGATTGCACTGCTTTAAAGCCCTTTGACCTTTAATAATGTGTGGATGCACCCTGATGTGCTACGCATTCTCCAACGCGCCTAGGCATGCTTCTGATCAGGTGGTCAATGTCCTCCTGTGGTATCTCATTCCAGGCAACCACCAACTCCTCTCGAAGTGCTTCTAGAGTCTGAGGACGTTGCAAATTGAGCAATCTCCTACCCATCATATCCCACACGTGCTCAGTTGGGGATAAGTCGGGAGATCTTGGTGGCCATGGTAACAATGTGACATCATTATGTTGAAAGAAGTCTATTGTGACTCTTGCAACATGTGCTTGGGCATTATCTTGTTGGAAAGTTGAATCTGCCAGGGTGTCAAGATAGGGTAAAAGATGGGGTTCTAGAACTTCGTGGATATAACGCTGCGCGTTCATGTTACCTCTGATGAAGATTAAAGGTGACCTGGAACCATAAGCTATAGCACCCCAAACCATAACTCCAACAGTGTGATGAACATGTCTTTCAACAAAAAACTGTGGATTCCTCCTTTCACCACGTCGCCTTCTAACCCTGGCACGACCATCGTGCATGCCTAAACAAAATCGAGACTCGTCACTAAAGACAATACTGTTCCATTCCTGTTCCCAGAGTGACCGTTGTCTGCACCACTCAAGGCGATTACGGCGGTGTTCTCGAGTTAAAGGGAGGACCCAGTGTGGCCGGTATGAAAACAAGCCAAAACTTCTCATTCGTCGGTAAACACTTCGCATGCCAATAGGTCTTGCGTGTTCTGCAAACCGTTCATTTGCAATGGATATGGTAGTGGAGAAACGGTCCCTTAAGGCCAATAATCTTAGGCGGCGATCTTCACGGTCTGTTGTTCTACGGCGGCGTCCAGTGCTCCTTGCTCTTTGCGTACGGCCTTCTCGAAGCCATGCCTGACAACACCTAACCACAGTGTCTACACTTCTTTGCACTCTAACTGCAATTGCCCGAAAAGAAAGTCCAGCTTCCCGAAGTCCCACTATACGGCCCCTATCAAACTCACTAAGTTGACGAAATCGTACAGGGCTCCGTACTCTAGGCATCGTAACCGATCGTAAAGGATGTCAAGAACCAAAATCCGCCAACGTTGATTCTTTACTGCGGCTGAAATATTCATTTTTAGAGCGTTAGTGAATTAAAAAAAGCAGTATAAAAACCGGAATGTCCAACTGATAAGGCTGAAAATTTGTTCACTTGTTATTTACAGTAAGATAAATACATTCACCAACTTTTATTAAAATAAAACCATTTAAACTGGGTGTTCGGATTTATATGTCACTTAGTATAAATGGATACGGATTTATCTTTTGAATTTAAGAAAAGTCACCTAGTGATATATTTTTCAAAACTTTTAACACCCCATATTTCAAAAGTTACATAAATTCTTATTACGTTTTCTTCTTAAAATGGACCCACAAATCTCCCTGCAGACAGTGACGTTCAGTTAGGAAATACCCGGCGTAATAACGATAATAAATTTCTGAAGGCATACCTCTCTCCACAAATTCCGCACTGATAGTGTATTCCGGGGCCGGCGGTCGTTTCATCCATATCTTTCCGTCCATTATCATCGTCGCCGTGTTGCGCCTTGTGCCTTTTCACGTGTACCGCTAAACAGCTCGATTGGGTGAAACCTTTGCCGCAAATCTGACAAACGTACGGCCGTTCTCCAGTATGAGACCGACGATGCACCGTCAACGTGCTCGAACCGTTGAAACCTGCGAAAAAAAATATACGTCGGGCTTCAAATGTTAGATGCGTGTCCTTCATTTTGAGATTTAAGGGATCGAACTACGAGGGTTTTTTCAAAAATACGGTTCCCGATGTTACGGGTGATGCTAGGTGAAGCGTGGGTTTCACCAAGGTTGTCAAAACAACAGTCCGTTATTCTCCACCTATAGGGTAACAGAACGTCAGATACAGCGAATGAGCTTCAAGTTCCAATCAACAAATTTTAGCAACCAATAGCTATGGAATGTTGAAAACAAAATAACTGTCAAAGTATGAGATGACATCTTGTCATTGAAACATCACCAGCTTATTGAATATGTATATAGAAAAGTAGCTTAAAGATCAACGTTTGCAATGGTGAATTCGTTTTATCAAATAAAAAATTCCTTGTGGGAACGTGGGAACCTTATAGTTGATACAAACCTCGAATTTTTTTGTGTATTATGGAACCTCAAAGCTAGAGTTTAATATAACATCTATGGTTTTCATGTTGATAATACGATTTGTATCACCGAGGTAGTCGAAACGATAGCAAAACTGAAGGCTACATATCAGTTTAGTCTAACCTTTATGGCAGATATCGCATATGTGCGATTTCTCCCCGGTGTGCGTCCTCATGTGTTTCGTCAGCTCATTCGACTGACAAAATCCTTTTTGGCAAACGCAGCAAACGTACGGCCTCTCGCCGGTGTGCGTCCTTTTGTGCGCCGTCAGATTTGAACTGGTGGAAAACGCGCGATTACAAATGTGGCATTTGTGAGGCTTTTCACCTGAAACAGTGGATACATCAATACAACTAAAAAGTATAATGCTTTGTTAGAACTATACGTTTTACTGGCTAAAAGAAACCACATATGTAGAAATTACTCTTTATTGACGTTTTGGCAACCACGGAGGCTTTCTTCAAAGTACAGATTAAAATTATTGATTGTCATTTCTTCCTGTACTTTCTAAAATCATACCGTATTGACCAGAATACCAAATTGAACACAAACAAAACAAAATGTAAATCTTACGATTAATCATGAAAAAATTGAGTCAACCGAATCATTCAAATATTTGGGCATATACATAGATAGTAAATTAAAATTTGAAAGGCACGATGAATATATTGATTCAAAAACATCCAAAAAGATAAATTAATTTTATAGAATTTCGCATAGCCTAAGCGTTTATTTTTTAAAAATGTGTACAACACTTTTTATTTCTCATTTGTTAAATTGTTTGACTGCAAACGAAACTGTAATTTCAAAATTACAAATATTACAAAATAAAGCTATTCGAATCATCTAAAATAAAAATAAATAATATACTAGAATAATTTTATGCTGAAAAAACTACAATGGTTAAATATCAAAAATTTAATAACCTACTTTTCACTTTCATAGTGAATTTAAAAAAGTAACTTCTACCAGATGACTTAGAAAATTTCATTAAATCGAACATTGAGTACCATAGTTATTCTACTAGAGGACGCGTAAACTTTTACTCACAAAATAGCAGTAACAACATAACAAACATAAATCAGTATTTCTTAAAGGATTGTACAAATTTCATAAAATAAAGTTGTGTGCCAGTTTCAAAATGTTGAAAGGGAAATTGAAAAAATATTTAATGGACAACCAAATATTCATAGTAGTGAAATTTGTTTAAAAATGTGTAGCCTTGAAAATGTGGCATACTGTGTAACATTGATATTGTAGCATTGATGCTAAATAAATCTCCAACAAACAAACAATACTTTTATATATTGATATCTGTCCACTACATCCCAAGGTATTTGGTCATTTCCGGCTTTTTGAATCACCTTGCTGCATTATGCTTACCAGTATGAACCCTCATGTGTTTTTCTAAATCCTGAAGTTGTCTACTTCTCCTGCCACAAACCACACATTCGTAAGGCCTTTCGCCGGTGTGCATCCGCATGTGGATCTTAAAATTACCACTGTGAGCGAATCCCTTACTGCACACCTGAGAAAAACATAAATAATATCATCATGATCTATAAAATACAATAAATTTAGAAGCATACCTTGCACTTATATGGCAGGTCAGCAGAATGTGTCTTTACATGCCTGCTTAGTTTCGCGGCGGTTCCGAAAACTTTGTTGCAAGTTGGGCACTGCTTGGACGCATCGTTTTTTGCTTCTTTATTTTGACTTTTCGATGATTTGCTATCATTCTCTGCCGTTCGATCCGGCAGTTGCACATGAACGGGTGGTTCGATTTGCTGATGAGAGAGTTGATGATTGTGATCTTGCCCTGCTTGTTGCTGTTGCATCACTGATTCTAGAGTTTCGATTTCAGGCTGGGCCACCAACTGTAACAGATATTAATATTATATATACACTTATATATATAGATATTAAACTAAAGTTTGAGGTCCACTATGGATACATTATTGTTAGTGAATCACTGTTTAGTGTATGGTGAACTACAATGGTTAAATATCAAAAATTTCATAGTCTACTTGGTTTTCATTTTCATATTCAAGTTAAAAAATCATCTTCTACCAAATCACTTGGAAAATTTTATTGTATTGAACAATGAGTGCCACAATTATTCTACTAAAGGAAGTATAGACTTTCATTTACAAACCTGCAGTAGCAATATAACAAGCAAGTCAGTATTTCAAAAGGGATTGTACGAATTTAATAAATTAATAAAGTAATAATATCACGATGTGTGTCAGTTTCAAAATGTTCAAAGGGAAATTGAAAAAATATCTCATGGAAAACCACAATTCATAGTAGCGAAATTTTGTATAAATATATGTAGTCTTGAAGACATAATATATTTTGTGATATACTGTGTAATATGGATAATGTAGCATTAATGCTAAATAAATCTGAAATATACAAACAATCAATCAAAATAATTGCCAAAAAACAAATTACTTTTATGTCATGTTGAATAAATATTAAACAAACAAGCTCCAATAATTTCCTAACCATTGCAAAACATTCAAAAAAATTGGCAGAGCTTCGTCATTCATCACAATTAAATGTACGCTGTGTGCTTTTGAGTATCACACTTACAGATTTAATTACAAGAAGATATGAATATATATCACTGACCTGCATGTGTGTAACCGCCTGATTGTTGATAACGTTTCCATCTGCAGTTTGCATCTGATTAAGAGGCATGTAACTGGAAGCGCTGTCATACACTTGTACCTGATGTCCAATCACTTGTATGTTGTAACCGTGCAACTGCAACTGCTGTTGCTCATTGTAATCCATGTGAGTTAATGGAGGCTGTGATGGCTGCGACATGTAGTTAGTGTGAGACTCTTGAGGAACCGTTACACCCACTTCCAACACTGAAGGGTTGCATTCTATATATGCCGGTTCTCCTCGTGCTATTCAATAAACACAAAGTTTTACAAACTAGTCCATATACTGTAGATCAACAATGACCTTCTCAAATAATGTTTTTACTAATAACACTATATCAATGCATTCTATTTTATAAGATTTAAATATTGTCATTATCAATATAATGCTATAATCCCCAACCTATATCAATCACTATAAAAAAACTGTAATTGACCACATTGCTCTACTAAGATGTATATTTTCTCAGTTTTATATTTCAAATTATTTGACAAGTGAGAAATAACTAACAAAGTATAATCGTCTTCCTCTTGAAGTTTTCAATAGTCAGAAGGGTATTAGAATAACTAGAAAATTCACATTACATTCATCTATTTTCAAGTTCACACCATGCTACTATTATAGACGTTTCAAAGTTTTTCTACAATGTATTGTTCCTGTTAATTTGTTGTAGATTTCTTTGATAAAGGTCTTTCAATGAAAAGTTCACGTCTCTCAAATAAAATATAAAAAATTATGGGTTTGCAAATACAAACACTGATTTGACTGTTGCTTCACAAATGACACCTAAAGAGATAAGAACTCTAATAGAAATTAAGCTTGTAGTAGCAGATAATAGATTTTTTCAACAAATAGCGGCAAAAATATAATTTTATGTTTTAATAATTAGTTAATTTTGTCTCTAGAAAGTGACAATAAATATTACCTGTCTGCTGATGAGCAATCTCCAAGCATGGAATTTTTTCACTCTGACCCACAATTTTGTTTTCACTCTGGACTGCGTTTTGTACTTTCATATCTTCCATTTTTTGCAGGATTTGTCTCAGTTTGGCATCTGACTTTTCACACATCTTCTTGAATTGGAATGAAATGTGCAATTTTGCTGTACATTTGTTGCATATCTGACTAGGAAGTTTATCATTTTGCCAAACCTAACACAATAGAATAATAACAATATTTTTTCATACATGTCTTCTATTTTGTGTGCGTACAGATCTTTCACCAAATAGGTGCTTATTTAGTTTTTTTTACTACATATAAAAATATAATGAGTAAGTTCCACATACCTGGACAGATGCACAAGCCATAATCTTTTTAGATATATTGACTTTGAAAATAGACATCATCATACCCTCCTTCATGCAGATCCTACAGATTCTCTGAAAATCCGCAGACGGTGGTGTCTCTGCAGCCATTGCACTGAGAGATTGAAAAAAAATGATTACATAAATGGTTAAATATTCATTGTTTACATATTTGCAAATTTTTAATTGTACATATTATACCTTTGCCATTAACGAATTGTATTTGTCGACATGTCTGTAGTTACACTTAAGCTAGACAAATTTTACCAAGATAGGAAAAGTAATTTGTCGGTTTCCAAACGTAAAATTAAAACAACATTTGGCCCGAGTAAAGATAACATGGCCACACAAGACCACTATTGAAATATACTCTACTAGACTCTAGAAGACTATCCGTAGCGAAATTTTTCTCGAAATCGTTGCACACCGCTTGAAAAATGCAAATGAAAATTAGAAAACTGTCGCTTTGACGTACTAAATGAACCGTCGTTACCCCGGGATAGACATACGATCTTGTCATTCTTGTCAAATAGATTGCGGCGTTGCCAGCTCCTCAGATAATTTTGCTACCTCTGCTGGAATTGGTGATAGTCTACAATTGACAGTATCGTGCTTTGTCACTAAGCCCCTGGCACTATGTTTACTAAATATGGTGGAAAAAATCAACCGTTGATTCTCTGGCGTTTTCAAACCTGGAATCTCAGCCCCGTGTTAAGGAAACTACATGCCTTGCTTGTTGGAGAATACATGGACACCCAAATGTCCAATAAGAGTAGGGATGTGATGCGTCTGTCTGTAATTTCACATAATCGACGAGTTATAGGTTGGTTTCAAGTTATCGAGCTGTCCATTTTTAGCTTCCTCAAAATGAATGCCTAATATCTCTGCGTATAAGACGGATACTAATAAAGAGAGTAAAATTAAAATCGTGCTTCTCCTATTAATGATCATGTAATTTTAGATCAAATAGTTAATAAATATATTTACATATACATATAATAAAACATTGTTTTCTCCAATTGTTGGAAGAAGTCCCGTCCCGTATCCAAAAAGTATTTTATCCTATAAAACTGGGCATTTAAATAATGTTCAGAGACATTACCATTGCTATGTCTCAAATTTTGTGTAGCTCCATTGGTATTCATCAATATTTTCTTCAAAACTTTTTGTTTTTTTATAACATCCTCTCAAAATAGCAGAGGTAGCAAAATCGCTCGATGAGCTGGCAATGCCGCAAACCAAGTGGCAAGAATGACAAGGTTATCTGTCGAGATGGGTGTCTATCCCGGGGTACCGACAGCGTTATTTAGAACGTCAAAGCGGCAATTTACATTTGCATTTTTTTAAGTGTTATGCAACGATTTCGACAAAGAGACTAGTAGAATACATTTCAACAGTTGTCTTGCGTGGCCATGTTATATTTACTCGGACCCAACGTTTATAACCCGTAACCTATAATACAGCATAAAAGCTTGACTACTTCACAAACACAAAAGACCTAGATTAGCACTTCTATAACAATCTGAACATCTAAAACTATGATTTATAACTGTATAATCTATCTTTGGCATTTTTTTGTTAAAGAGATTTGCTTTCCTGCCAGTTAGAACCTCAGAACCTCAGTGATTTTTGGGTAAAAGGCCCCCGCCCCCGGCCTACCCTGATGAGCAGAAGTCAAGTCAAGCTTGACTACAAATAAATAAGAAATAGATTCAGTTTTGTGTTTAAATCTATTCACTGATTCAACTAGATTAAAAAATAGAGTTGGTTCCAATGTTATGTGTTCACGTCACTTGTCACCATAAGCTGTCAGTTGTCAGGCGCTGACATTGTGAATGCGAGGTTATGTCGTATTATTTTGTTAATTTTCCAACATGTGTTGGGCAAAATAGAAAGTCAGTGTGATTCTCACCGGTTTTACCCTATTCTACACATTTCTCGTGTAAAATATTTATAATGGACGACCAAGACATACCCGAAGACGAGTTGGAAGACATAGAAGTCATCTACTCGGATGGCGAAGATGCCGATTATGATGAGCAACAAGCAGAAAATATGATAGAAGATAGCAATGAGGTTGAAATCGAGGCAGAGGTTATAGATTTATCGATATTGACCTTCAGCAAACATACAAAATCCGTGTTTTGCTCAGATGTAAACAAAAGTGGTCAAATCGCTGTAACAGGTGGTGAGGACGATATTGCGTACGTATGGGACACAAACAGTGGAGATGTATTATTTGAGTGTACTGGCCACAAAGACTCCGTCACAGAAGCCAGTTTCAACTATGACGGACAGTTTGTGGCTACGGGAGATATGGCTGGAATGATACAGGTACATTGACTACTACAGGAACCCTGAAATATTGAATTACAGATTTTGTAGAGCCAAATTAGTTGTCCACTTAATTTAAATGTGACGATAAAAAATTTGAGGTGTATGACAGCATCAAATACATATAAATACACATGTGTTTTTGAAAATGTCCAGATAGGAAAGTTCCCTGCCATAATATATGAAAAGATTGACTGAAATCTATCTATAAATGAATGTAATCTCACTTGACAGTTATAAATTCATCTTCTAGGTTTGGAGTGTCGAAGAGAAAAAGCTGGTATGGTGTTTTGAAGGTGACGATATGGAATGGCTATTCTGGCACCCAAAAGCCAATGTCTTGCTATGCGGCTGCCATTCTGGGGATGTGTATGTTTGGCAGATGCCACAAGGCCATTGCAAAGTGCTCCCATCTCCTGACAATGCAGCAGCTACATGTGCAAAACTGTTGCCTAATGGAAAACAGTTACTGGCTGGATATGAAGACGGGAACCTGCAGTTGTGGAACATTAAAGAAGTGACCAGCGAATGGAGTAATTCACAGTTCCACACTGTCACCAATGTAGATGTTAATGAGGTAGGTACCCTATACCTGTATTTATTATTACTGTGCTTAATACAGTCTATGAGAGCAAACAAATTTTTGTTTCAATTGAGATATGCATGCTCTCTAATTTTTCCCACTTGACTCTAAAGACTCCAAAAATAAATATTGTTGCCATCAAGGACCAATATTCCGTGCTGACTTTTGGTCAAACCTTGGATTTGAAAGTTAACTGGGAAACCATGTATGAATTTCAAAACCTAATTCTTATTCAACATATAAAACACTGCTTTATTTGTTTCTTACATATTTATCATTAAAAATTATTTACTAACTTATATTTTCAAAGTTTTCTTTTTACAGTGAGGATATACTTGCCTGTGTTTTTGTACATAACATAATAAGAAATGCATTTGTTATTGATTGACATGATGTCATCAATATTGTTCTCTGGAATGAAAAACTAAGAATAGCTCTACCATCTTAACATACTGGTTTCGTCAACTTTTTGTGCTTATTGACAACTCATCAGCATGATCTAGGTTGGGCCTCAAGTCACGACAAGGGACGAAACCATAGCAACTAACCTCATCTGAGTTTTTTGTTTAGATTCGTGGTTTATACTTTTTTAATTCGTCCCCTTTCCTCGAACGAACTAATATTTATTTTTTGATTTGTTAAGGAATTTATACAGAATTTTGTCAGCTGACACTTTCATATAAAAATGATTAACCTTGCCCCTTAGGAAGGGTTGTTGGCTGTGGTGGCTCCATCGTCGAACATCGTGAAGTTGGCTGATGGCAAAGTGACTACAACTCTCCTGCCAAACGAGGAAACGGAAATCGAAGCGGCGACTTTCAATAGAGAGACTGGAGTCGTCGCCACCGGATCTCTCTCGGGACAGCTGTGCGTTTGGGAGGTGGGCAAACAAGCATTGCGTCACCAGGCGCGCATCGAGTGCTCCGTAACGGTGCTGAAATGGGGCCCGGCCACGAAGATTTTTATCGGCGCCACAGACGGCGCTGTTTACGTGTGCGACGTCAAGACGGGCAGTTTGTTGGAAACGCTCACCGGACACAAAGCGGACGTGCTCAGCATTTCGTTGCTCGATCCAGACGGAAAGAGGATCCTCACCACATCCGATGATGCCACTGTCAAGATATTCAACGTCAACTAACCAAATAGCGATTACGATTCCGCAAGGAGATGAAAAAACGTTACTAAAGGGGTGACGAGCAAAGTTGAGCCCCCGTTTTGTTAGAAGCGGTCGATGGTTCAAACGAAATTGGTTCAAATATGAATTGTTTAGTTATGCTATCTTGTCCATGCAGAATTTTTGGCTGAAGCTGTAAATCAATAATCTTTATGTGTGTGGGTGGCGCATCGAAAACGAAACAGACGCAGTTACTGGCAGCTCAGTTTATTTTTTTCACACACATAAAGAAATCCAAAGGTGATAAATCTGGTGATCTTGGGGGCCATTGAATGGCACCTCTTCTACCAATCCATCGATCTGGAAACGTCTGATCTAAATATTGTCGGACACGTCATGCGTAATGTGGTGGGGCACCATCCTGTTGGAACATCAACCCATTCGCAATGTACCGCCGATCATTCTGATTTTCAATTATGGCTGTTAATACAGGATCTATGGCATCTTCCAGTAATTCCAAATACATTTCACCGGTCAAATTTCCAGGTAAGAAAAAAGGACCAACTAAATGATTGCCAAAAATACCAGCCCAAACATTTAATTTTTGTGGCTGCTGTGTATGAACCGTATGATAAATAACTTTTGGGATTAGAATCGGACCAATATCGGCAGTTATGACGATTTACTATGCCATTTAAGAAAAAAGAACACTCGTCCGAAAAGCAAGTGTTGAATAGAAAATGGTCATCGTCTATAATTCGTTCACTCATATCTTCACAAAATTGTAATCGCCGATCAAAATCGTCTTCATTAAGTTCTTGTACCAGGTGAAGCCCCCACTCAATTTGCTTCGTCCGTTATGGGATTTTCAATGTTGCAGTGTTGCGTTTTTTATTGGCGACTGACCCAGTTTTCCGAAATTTAGCTACAAGTTTTAGAACATATTTTCGATGCACGTTACTGTTCTGATGTCGCTCATTAAATATTTCTGCTGTTCTATTAGCACACTGATTGTTTCCGAAAAATATTTCGATAATTTCAACTCTTTTCTGCCATGGTTAATTTATTTACTAAAGCGTTACAAGTTATTTTAGGAACAAAGTTTAGTTAAATGAATCGCAAACTGTGTACTAAATTCCTATTTAAAATAAGTACGAGATATTTCCTTATCTTTCTTCAAGAAATAAGTTTTTTGCACAAAAAACGCTCCAATAGCTATTTCCAACAACAAAATGATAAACAAACCATGGGCGTAGTGAAGAAAAGCATTTACTTATTAAGTAAATTCTTTTAGTCAAATTTCTTCTGAAAGTAGTATAAATCTGCAAAACTATTGAACTGAAGTACATTAATTTTATATCATTATAAAGGGAATTGCAAGACCTTTAAAATAAGGTATCACTCGACCCACTTTCCATTTAAGATTTTAGGGTTGGTGTCACCCCCGCCCAGGTGGCTGCACGTGTTAACGTGATTTTTTGCCAAACTTGCGTCCCCCTCGAAAACAAAATCGACGGGTCTGAGCGTTTTTCCAAAAAAAAAACTGGGCTGCGAGTAAATGCGTCTGTTTCGTTTTCGATGTGCCACCCTGTACTATCTTTGATAAATGTTTTTACAGATCTGTATCGTTCATATGACAACGGCTGCTTCTGGATAATAAAAAACACTTATTCATATCATCGATTGTAATGTTGTAAGAAACATGCAGGGCATTCTACAAAGTTGTGTTTAACTACTGCATAAAAGCAGATATTTTTCGTTAAGGGTATAATGTTGAAGTATTTTATTCATTTGAAATTATTTAATTGGTGATACTAGTTTTACCGTCAAAATACAATTATTTTAACTAAGTAAAAGCATCTATGTCAAGCTTAGCTATACAATGCCCTGTATATTCAAATCGTGTTAGTAAGTTTATGAAAGCTATGTGAAAAGTTTTCGTAACTATTAAACTTTTATTATGATCAAGAACTGACTATATAAGACTATATTCAAACGTGTTTTAAACAGTACCAGATGAATAGATGACACTTCCATCTCAGTATAACTTTAATGTACTATCGAGTTTAAATTTACTATTGTTGTACTTTTAATAAGAAAAAATATATATTTTTTATGTTATGTGACGTCCTTTATATTATCGTTATCGTACGATTCACAAGGTGATACATAGAATTTCTCAGTTATAAAAAGACATTTAAAGATCTGTGAATCTTTATTGTCTTCTTCATAAATACGAAACAAACAACACAAATAATAAATTATAGTTCATATAAAAAATGATTTGTTCCTTGCCTAACTAAATAGAAAAAAATGTCATTTGATTCTAGGGTAGTAATACAAAACGGATGACCCTGGTAGCTGCCAATTGGAAGCATGTAATTCGATCAGTTGCAGTAAAGTCCGTCTCACACTTGCGGAACTCCCCGTCAGAAAACCATCACGCACGCTCGCAAGCAGTTGCTCCAGTTGCTGAGGAAGTTCCGATTCCAAGTCTCTTCCTAAACCAAAATACATTTACCAGTTAGTCAGTTCGTACAAGTAGTTCGGTTTCAGTAAATGCGACCTGCAGAACTAGTTCACTAAAAAGAACCAGAAAGCACATCACTAATGCAGTTTCAACAGACAGCTTACTCTCGCATCGAATGATGACACTTTGTGTGGTCTCATTACCAAAACATATTTGAACAAGGCGTAAAAAGTCAGATCGGTACTGGATCTACTTTTTTTGATGACACAAACCTTTCATGTTATTTTCTGCCGCACAAACGTACCTATCGAGGTGAGAACAAAGAAGAGACATTCAGTCTCTGAAAGGCACTTGATCGGTAGACTGACGCAAGCCTGGCAGCATTTGGCTAGGATGGACAGCAACGTCAGTTCAGGTTGGAGAGATTTGAAGTTTTCTTTCAATTGATGTCGCTTCAAATGGCCACACATTTCTGTGAGGAACCACATGAAAGCGGTGAATCGGGTACCATCTCCTGCTTTGATACCGCGGAGGATTTTGTCGCGTTCTTGGTACCTGAAATTTATTCCAAATAGACAATGTTCTAAAATTAAATGGTCGTTACCAAAATCACTCAAGGCTGTTATTTGCTGACCGGCGAGGAATTATCGTAATCTCGAAAAATCTTGAAATTGAGATATTTTTTGTGATTATTATACAGGGTGCTTGCAAAGTTGATTTGTTTATTTTAGCAGCTCATAGAACTGTCAAATGGAAGTATACGCACTATTAAAAGATTGATCGAACCAAAGACTCGTACTGGAGACCATATATCACAAAAAGTTTGCCAAATTTAGATAAACGATAAGAGTAGTATATCAACCCCTTTTGACGAGTCCATCAAGCATAAATGAGTCAACTTTCAAAGCACCCTTTATCTTATTGATTTTGCTTCAGGTATAAATGCATATCTCGGCAGAGACCATCCAAAAATGAACTATGGATAAGACATCCTCATTTGCGGTAATCGCAATTTCAAAGCTACACCAAACACAACATTGGTTGTCTAATGTTGAATATTACGGTTTACGTGTATAAATACACCTATACCTTGAGCGGGAAAGTAGCAATCTCGCGATTTTCGTACAAATAAAAAAAATCTCACCATTGTTGACAAGTGTTGAGTAGCGTTTCTAGAAAGGTCTGTTTCTTCTCATTCTCGATGATGGAGATGCACAATTTTGCGATCGGTTCGCTATATTTGATGCCTTCGACTGCCTTCTCCATAATGGTCTTGACGAGATCCATCAAAGTGCGTGTCGGCAGTTGATTCGGATCTTCCAATGCGGCCTTTATAATCGTTTGTTGATCATCGGGAAATATCGTTACGTCTAGTTCTTCTTTCACTATGCTCTTTAATTTGTCCGCTAGGTTTCGGGAATCGGTAGCGCCTACAAAAAGAAGGATATCGAGGTGAAACGTGTACGCCTTTAGAACGGCGAATTATTATTTTATCATAAGCAGCGAAAACAGAATAATTATGACTTTCATTCATTTATTTTAATAATAAATTTCGAATACTTCTGAACAGAAATTACTCAGGAGGTGAATCACCCCTCGTCTTCAAAACAATGTTAAAAGGGAATATTCACTATTCCCTTCATAATGGGTTATGTCTTCAGTTTCATCATACATTTCAGTTTGTTTGAAAACAATTCTACACGCATTTCTAAACGTTATGGTAGTCATTATTGAAATGGGTAATAGGGGGGATCAAAACAAGTTAAAAAGTTCATATGACCCATCGTCCAAAAGTCAATAGATTTTGTCTAAATGGCTTTATAGTTCACACCTTTAAGTGCTTTATATCGATCACAATCACCATAACCTCACTAATTTTTATAATCTAATCTAAAACGTTTTTAAATTGGGTCATTAACAAATAAAAGTTAAGCCAAAATTACCTGTATGTATGTATAGCTGTAGGTCGACATAACTTGGCAACATTGTGGTTCAATCCGCTTTGTAACCTGCATTATATTGAATTCTTTTGAACATTACAACAAAATGTCTGTAAATTTGCTTTGAAAAGGTCTTCATTGTGTCGATAGTATTCATCGATCATCTCGTAATCTACTTTCGGTAAATTCGAAGAATCTGCTTTCACGAAATTTTGTTTCATATTTTAATTGTGTATTTAAAAAGCTAAATTCCAAATCAGTCGCTGCACCACGCTGCACAAGCCAAATCGCAATACCAAATCGTCAACAACAACGCCAGAATGCATCATAACCTTCAAATTATCTGTCAAAAACGTAAAGACACAGAACGCAAACAGCTCCGGACGAGTCTGTAGAAGAACAAACTGGGAATATCTCCTGTCCTTGTCACACTGTAATCGGCGAACAAATGTAGAGTGACATTCTAAGAAGGGGGCGGAGAAAATATTACTACGTCACGCCAGATATTAATACGTCACACAGTTGGCGGCAAATTTTATTTTTAAACATTGAAGCCGAGTTTTTGTTCAAAGAAAACATGTAAAATTACTCAATATATAATTTTTAGATGTAAAACTTCAATTTGGAACTAAAATTTTTTTTTTGGAAAATACCCCATTGTGTTCCCTATTTATAAGTGGATTTTTTTACTACGTTCAATAAAATTTCACACACCAGGTAAAGCGCTCAGATAGATAGTGGTAAGTCCGTTTCTTTAATTGTTTGCATTTTACGAGTACATTATCAAATAATGAAATAATAAATAAGAGCCAAAAATAACGAACTCCGTCTTTATTTACACTGCGTCCCGTCGTAATTTGCGTCTGGCATTGCGGCGTTGTCTGATTTTATTTTAAGTCGCTTGTCTCTAAAAAAATGCCGTTTTGACACCCATGTTATATGAAACTGTTTGCTTCTTTTAACCCCCACTATCACCCATTTAAATAATGACTATCATAACGTTTACACCCTGTATTATCCCATTCATAATGGGTTATGTCTTCACTTTATGTATGTATACTCACCCAAACTTTTGGATCTCTTTAACGCCGACGCCGAAGAACTTCCACTAGAAGTCTGCTTAGTGGAGTTCCTGTGCGCGTTTCCACCTCCACCGCCTGCATATCCCGGATGATACGCTCCCGGATGGTTCAGCCCAGAGAATACGGGATGCGAGACCGCCGCAGCAGCTGCGGACGCGGCCATATTGAACATTTCCGGCGGGTAGTGATGGTGATAAGCGGCGCTGGAGGGTCCCGAACCTGAACGGTGAGCCATCTGCTGGTGATGGTGATGGTTGAGGATCTGCGAGGTCGAAGCGGAGTGCAGAAGGGCTGCCGCTGCTGCTGCTGCTGCTGCGGCGGGCATCGCCATTCCAGCACCAGCGGCCGATGGGAACAGCGGGATCAGACCAGGGTGGCTCATTTGTCTAAACAAGAATTAAGAAAAAATACAGAGTCAATTGTAGAGGAACCACTCCATCGAAAAAGCAGATTCTGCCGCTGTGGCTGAGGTGATACCTCTGGTGGCTGAAATTTGGATGTGATCATCCATTCATTACCTGCGGTAATAGTCCAGGAAGTTTTTTGCGTAACCTTGATAGAAAAAAGAAAAGGAGTTCTGGCGCAACTTGCAGATTCATTCAAAGCCCAACTAACAATTTTATGTTGTATAAATGTCCTAACATTGTTTTCAGAACTATTTTTATAAAACAACAATGCCGCTATTTTTAACAACATTTATACGCTTATAAACCCAAAAAGGGCGCACTCTTGTGAGACAATTTTGTTCTTTTTTATGGCTACCTCAATATATTTCCGCTAGACTTCGAATGTTGTAAGGATGTCGTCGGCATATGATGTTCGTAGCCCATCGCAGCAAAATTGAGGTTGCCGCTCGACTTGGAGGATTGAAGATCATGTTGATGGTTCATGGTGAACTCCTTGGCATGAACATTCAATTTCCCGCTGGCAGCCATCGGTAGATCCGTCCGCACATTCGGCGGCCTGTAGATCTCCATGATGGGCTTACCAGCTGCACCTCCTCCTCCTCCTCCTCCCCCTTTCAAGGTGGCCATGGTTTGGCTTCTGCGTTTCTGAGAATCCTTGTTTGATCTGACGAAGCTTCTCTCGCGACTGACCAGAGGGCTTCCGGTTCCGCCGATGCTTGCGCTGTTGCTGTTGTGAAACTCCATCTTCTTGCATTTTCGCAGTTGCGCCTCTTGGGACATCACCGTCAATCTTCAAGGAAAGGAGAGAATGTGGGAAATCTCACCACGTCATGTGAACTGCTGTAATAGTACAAACGAATAAGGTTTCTAAATCAATATAGAAGATATTTGAAAAAAAAAATGCAAATAGCACTCTATTTCAGAAAAGTTATATGAGAAAATCTAATTGTCTGTTAATTTTTCAGTAGATCCAAAAAGGATCTTTTGGTTACCTAGATGACGATGCCATAGGCCATTACTCGTATTAAAGCCTTTTCTCCCAAAAAATATACATACTTCATTATTATTATACTGAAAAATTCCGGAACCCCGCAATAATTTGTAAACTAAGAATGGTATGGAAAAACTAAGCCCCGCGATTGATACGAGTTGTTCCTAGCTACTCGATGGTGACCTTGGGTTTGACCTTGACTAATAGAGCGGACAATTTTACGTTCGAATTCTTCATTCTTAAATTTCGTCGACACGAGTACAGTGGTATAACTTGAAAACTACCGAGACACTATTTTCATGATTTTCCACCGCATATCCAATAATGACCTTGGATCTGAGCTCAATTATTACGACTTTCAAGGTCCTGTAAAGGTCAAGTCGTTTTTTTGTATAGGGAACAATTCTGAAAGTATCGAGAAGCCAGTTTATCTAGGAGCTGCACAGTTTTCTGAATTATCAAGAAATTAAAATTAACTTGTGTCTGATCATGATGATTAAGTATAAGGTCAAGGGCATGTTCGAACATAAAATATTCTTTTTTCCACATTTCCACGATCAACTGTATAGGGTCCCAGTTAAAAAGATTTGATCTACCAGTGACCTTGAAAGTAACGGAACAGGTCAGATATCAGGTCACCATTGGATATCCAGGGGAAACATCATCGAGATAATGTCTCTGTAGTTTCCGTACGCTTTCAAGTTATATCAGCGTACGTGGATTTAACCTGGACCATGACCTCAAAGTCATTTGAAGTTCAAGTCGATTTGTTTAAATGGATCCTCCCATTTTTGGCACTGTAAATGAAAAGAGCGAAAAATTTTAGGTTCGAATTGTCCATTCTTAAATTATTACCTTAGGAGGTCATGGTCAAGGTCGAACACAGGTTCCGTGGCATAACTTGAAAACCATTAGTCGTACAGGGAGACCACCGAGACATTTTCATGATTTTCCCCGTATATCCAATAATGACCTTGGCTCTGACCTTAACCAGT